AAATACTGAGGACAGTGTGAGCAAGATGGAGAAGTTAGCAAAAGCCCTTCCCTCTTAGTTATCATTTGTTTTAACTTTAGCTGATCCTTAGGAATCCATAATTTCATCACATTTGGGATTCTTGTAGACATTTAAAAAAAACTATGAGTGGGGGAGAAGGGGACCAGAGCCAAACTGAAGACACTTCCCTAGGACTAAAGAACATCTAGAAAATCTAGATTCACATCCATGGCAAATCTATGGCACGCATGCCACAGCTGGCACGTGGAGCCCTTTCTGCAGTCACGTGAGCCATAAGTCACCAGATTGCTATCTCCCCTGCAGCCAAACCTGAGAAGGCGGCTGCAGCCACAGTGCTGGAGCTTTGGCACATGGATCTGGAGCAGCTGGCACTGGATCTGGAGTGGGGTCTCGTGGCACCTCCATGTCCTGGATTCCCCCTTCCACTGCCACTTCTGGTTCCACCGTCACAGCACACCACCCACTGGTTGTTCTGTTTTTTTCCCCAGCTTGGCCACGCGAGCCCAAAAATGTTCGCCACCACTGATCTAGAGCATCATACAAAGTCTACATGAAGAATTACACTTCCTTGTTTCAATAATATAAAGGATGCACAGAAATTTACATGGCCTCCAAAGACACTGGTCAGACCCACTGACAATCTTTCTGGAAGTGTTATGATGCTAGAAACTTCTGCTAAAATCAAGCACTTCTTCCCTTCCCTTTCCCCTCCCTTCTCCACATCAGATTATGCTCATGATCCTAGTATACTTACTGACATTAAATGCCAAATAGGAAAAACTTGCCTCTACTGTGGATGAAGCATTCAGCTGCTTGGCCCAACTTCCTTACCTTAAAAGACCTCTGTGGGGCTCTTGATGAGCAACTGCTAAATGAGAACAAGGGAAGTCCAACTTACATCACAGAAAGACTGAGATACAGTATTTTCTAGTTTATAGAAATAAACTAGAAATAAGAAAGCTGTATGAAAGACCATCACCTGCTCCTGGGATCCTTACTTCTTGTTGAAGTTTGTAAGGGCTGGGCTGGTTATGTGGGTTATCTAGACTGGTGAATGTCTCTTTAAGGGATGGGGTAGTGCTGATTTTTTTAAAGAAAGGCAGCACTGAAATCAGTTCTGAAAAATAAATCTAGCTGTGGCTTTGGAAAATTCTTACCCAGTCTCCAGTGTTCCATATGATATGAGTATGAAGGTGCCATGGCAGTTGATGCTTTCCCCCCAGAACCAGCCCTGTTCACTCACACATGCACATCTGTCAGCATCATTGTGCCAATTGTGGAAGTTGTACAGCCAGTGCTTCCCTGCCTCTCCCTGCAGCTGACCACTCCAGCGAGGAGGCAGGAAGATGAGTCTCCCTGCTCAGCGGTTGGCTGTAGGGAAAGGCGGGGATGCGCCAGCAAGACTACTTCCGCAACTGGTGCAATAATGATTCTGATGGACGAGTGTGCCACACAGAGCCTGGTGAGTGGACTGGGCTGGTTGGGGGGGGGAAGGGAATGGACCGCCATGGCATCTGTGGTGTCACACTTCATAATCATATCCTCTAGATATGAATATGAAGCGTCCCTCTCTAATTTTAACCCATTCAACTTTGACTTTCAACTTGCATTTCTAAAAGAAACTGCTGTTGTCACTTTGATGGATGACATGCCAAGAAATGGACGGAGGAAGCGAGAGCTTGGTGGCTGTGCTGGATTATCCCTCTCCATTGGGACTTGGGGTATGACATTAAATGATTCTAGTTCTGTCTCAAAGGAATCATTCAGAAGCTGATGCTGGGAAAATTCTGTCCCACCCTAGGCTGCTAGCTTTTGCGGGCTCAAAGATCTATCTTATCCACCATGCAATTTAAAATCTATATGAAATGGCTGAGGGAGCCTACCTAGAGGTTTGGGCTAAAATGCTGTGAACATAAGGCAACATTCAGCTCTACCCCTTATTTTCATTTCACAATCCCAAGGAAGGGGTGGAAATCTTGAACACAAATCTCAAACTAATTTTGCGATAGATAGTAGAAACCAAGTTAAAGCTTAATCCATAGAAGATTCAAGACACTGATGGAGAAATCTACTGATTAGGATGGACTTTGCATGGGAAGGCACCGCCTCTAACTTGCCTGTTACACAGTTCTGGACATGGCACTTACAGGGACAGCACTGCTAGCTAGCAGTGCTTATCACAAGCATTTGACAGTTCCCCACTGGAGCCTTACCCAACAAAAAGCTGGCCTTGCTTTAAAGACATAGGCCATACTAATATCTAGCCTTGACTGTTGCTGTGCATCTACATGATATTTCCCTTGAAGATGATCAGGAAACTGCAGATGTTGCAAAATGCAGTGGCTCTAACACTTGTGGATTCCATTATATTTATTCTGCATCAAGTACACTGGCTGCTTAGACCCTGCGAAATCTATCAGTGCTGGTATTAGCCTTTAGAGTTCTACACTATATAGGTCAGAAACCTGTTTTTTCCCCAGCACATATAACAATCTGTTGCGTGAATGGATCACCATTTTCTGAGCTTATATAAGTAGATAGCCAATACTTCATTGCACAAGTATAAACCCCATTATTTCCTATGGGGCAGCTTCCATTTGTGCAATAGCCAGCTAGAGATAATGCAGAACTATAGGCAGAGCATAACACTCTGCCCACAGGATTTTGTCATTTAAGGACCAGGTTTTATAAAGAACTGCCTGCATACATACTATACAACCTGGCTTTCAAGAGCAACACCCGTGCCTCTGCAAGAGCTGTCAGACTGGCAAGCAGAGAGAAAAGGCCTTCTCTCTGGTAGCTCTCCATCTTCAGAAACCCCTTCCATGGGAAAAAAAACACCACATAGCCTCCTTTCAACTGGTCTTTAAGATAATTTAAAAGACTTTTACTCCAGGCTGCAGTTGATTGATTGGAGAACTTTAATTAAATATACAGTATATTATCATATATCCTAACTGTTAGCTTAACAATATATGTATTTGGTATTTATTGGCTAGAATTCTGTTGGTACTGTGTAACGATCTTGCCTAACCAAAAATTGCATAAGGGGTTATGCACAATCTTGCTGTCTCTCTGCTGCATGTTCAGACATGCTCTGATTGTGCAATTCTTTGTGCACAATTCTATGTGCCTGGGCATTTGACAGATGTGAAAACCTCTTCCACAATTTGTTTTGTGCACACTGTTTTTCACAATAGGATTTTGACCACTATTTTATATGACTTTCTAGTTTATATTTTAAAGGATGCTGTAATCTCCTTTATGAATGGTTTTACTTTGAAGAGCAGGCTAAACAAGTTAAATAAACAATAAACAAATAAATCCAGCTGCTTATTCCCAACCCCTTGCCTCAGAGGACTTATTGGCTAGCAGACAATATTTAATATTACATTGTTATCCTTGATACTAAACCTGGGTGCTATTTTATTCTGCAAATCTTTTCAGGAGACTTTGACAGCATCTTGACATTATAAAATGATATATAAGAATTCTGAATTGACCATCCCCCCCCACCCCGAGTTCGAATGTGATCTTAGAACAAGCAAGGAACAGATCACTAAAACATACACCAGGGGAGGATAGGGAAGGTGAAGTGGGTGTTCTTGGCTCCATTACTCATTTTTAGTATCATAAACCACAGTACTAAACCATGAGGTGTATGAAACATCATTTGAACTTTAACAGTCACTTTCTAGGTGAACAAAAGGCAGATATATAACTAATCAATGTGAGCTTTTGTGAGGAAATGCACGATATATATTGACTGTAACAACAATAACAATTAAAAATAATTATACTAGTCTAACTAATCAATGTGAGCTTTTGTGAGGAAGTGCAGGATATACCGTATTTTTTGCTCCATAAGACCCACCTTTCCATAAGACGCACCAATTTTTTAGGAGAAGAAAACAGGAAAATATAATCTGTTTTCTTCACTCCATAAGACGCACAGACTTTCCACCCCCCTGTTTTGTGGGGAAAAAGTGCGTCTTATGGTGCGAAAAATACAGTATATTGACTGTAACAATAATAACAATTAAAAATAATTATACTAGTTATGCTGTTCTAGAATGTCTGCAGTATGTCACTACTGAAGCTAATTCTATAACAATTCCTGATTCCACTTTTGAAAATGGACTCCATGTTTTTTTAAAAAAATCTAATTGTATACGCAACAGCAGCTACCAGTTGCCAGCAGACCATAAAAAACTATTTTAAAAAGAACAGGGGAACCCTTGGGAACAAGCAAGAATCTTCTGCTTTACATATTTAAATACTTCTTCTGTATAAAATCATAAACTCATTTACTCCGGTCAGGGGAAGTGAAATACTGAAACAGATTGATATCACTAATGAATGCTCTTGACTAAAGCCCCAGTTATCAAATTTAGGCAGGTGTGAACATTGCCCTCTAATCCCCTGAAATTCACAGTTCATTAATAAAATGTAAAATAAAACACTTACTTCTTAATCTTAATGATTCAACAGGGAATTAATGTCTGTCTCTCAGTCCTCTGAAATCACAGGTATGATATCATGGACAGCACACAGAGAACACAAATCTTGGGGTTTTAATTACTGACTGTTCTGACAGACCACGAAAATCAAATCCAATATACATCATTTGCAAAGTTAACCACTCTGTGAAGCAGGGTCCATGTATTCTAGGCAAATTTTACTCATGTTGATGAAACCCCTAAGAAGGAGAACTAGCAAGGATAAAACTGGCCTGAACAAAATAGATGCCACTTCACCTATGCAGAAAAATTATGTCAAAGCACACTTGCATAATCTGGAACTATTAATCACATACACAGAGAAGTCACTTTGAGGTGAGTTGAGAACTAGCAAAAATCAGAATTTGTGTATGAAGTGAAGAATTCAATCCATACATTAAAGACACACATTTTTGACATTTACTTCCACATCTTAATGGCACCAGACTCTAAATAACAAATGAAAAACCCAGTACTTACTCCTTGGTTCCCTTGGTCCATCCACTGTCACCTTTATTGCTCTGTGGTATGTAGCTACTTGAGGGGGATTTGTAAGGACTGTTATTGTCAAAGTAAAGCTCTTCCCTGTAAGGAAGGGGAAAGGAGAGTGAAGGAAAAAGAGAAAGAAAGTGTGTTAAAAATGATTGCATATATCTTCAAGGAGGGATCAAATTGCTGAGAGAACATAAAACTTTAAGACTGACTGAAACAAAAAACCCCAATTAATTTGCTATAGTTTCAGTGTACTATACAGAATCCAGCCAACTGTCAAAAATTCACAAGTTTCTTATTTTAATATCAGATGGAGGGGAAAATAATGAAAGGCAACGTCTTTTATAATTCAATGGCCATTTCTGCTTTGAGGTTGGAAGTTCTTGAGAGCGCCTGCAGTTGCTTCCTCACAAGACATGTCCAGAGCTGAGGAAGCAGTTTTCACAACTGTATTGCACAACTGCCAGTGGGCAAGTCAAGTAGCAAAAGATAGAGGATTTACTTAAAGGAGCACTTTTGTGATGATTACAGGTCAGTCAAGTAGAGAATAAAAACGAAGCCAGTCAGTCCCTCCGCACTCTCTGTGGGCACTGGTAATAGTTGTGGACTGGCAGAGTGCTTGAGCGTATGGGTGGCGGGATTGTTAGAACAGTGTCCCCTGCTCCCTAAGAGCAGAGTTCTCTGGGTGTGCCCTCAGTGCAGGCTTGGTGACACTGGGTGCAAAACAATGGGAGCTATCTTTCAACACATGTATAGAACACCGGATTGGCAAAGCCTGCTGTAAAATCCATACAGTGGAACCTTGACTTGCAGATGGCTTGACTTACAGACTTTTTAAGTTACAGACTTCTCTGGCCGCAAAATTTAGGTTTGACTTGCAGACTGAGATTTGACTTACAGACCAGAAAAAAACCAAAATGGAGCAAAAACGGCCTGTTATGGGATTAATCGGTTTTCAATGCACTGTAGGTCAATGGAGACTTGACTTACAGACTTTTTGACTTGAGAACTGCCTTCCAATACGGATTAAGTTCTCAAGTCAAGACCCCACTGTATATATATATATGGGCATCGTGGTTCATCTAACAGGGCCTCATACAAAGCGAAGGAACATAGATGGCATAACAAACGTGCAGACGATTTCCCCTTCTTTAGAGAACATAGCACACACCATATTTATGTGCTGTTTTAAAAAATATTATAATAGACTCCCTCTCCAGGTACCTAACAATGTGGAAAAATAATGGCACTCTTCTCTTAAAGAAAAAAAGCAGAGTCCATAGTAGGGTAAAAGATTTATTAGGACCAAACAAAATGTCATGAAACCACAATCAAATGTTTGAGTTCTCCAGAATTTGTCATCAGCCTAGGTGTCCAGCAAAGCAAGAGATGCAGAGGTGGTTTTTTTACAATGAGGCTGCAGACTCAGCTGACCTAGCAGGATTAGATTATAATAGAAAATGACTTTCCCTAGCCAGGACAGATATCAGGAAAACACAGCCAAAAAGAAGATGTCCAAGAGGGAAATCCCAGTGGGGAAAGATCATTAAAAACGTGGAACTACAACCAACAACCAGATCAATGTATAAAAAGGTATAGAAGCACTAAAACAGTTTAAATGCTTGGGAGAATAAAAAGGTTTTCTCCTGGCACTGAAAAGGCCACAGAATAGATGCCAAGTAACCTCCCTAGGAAGCACAATCCACAGAACGTAGGGGAGCCACTAAACAGACCCTCTCTCTCTCTCTCTCGCAGCTAGTACCTAATTTACCCTCTTTTGTAAGGATGCCCACGGGAGGGTCCTGGGTGACGGATAGATAAGAATAGTAGCTGATGGTCCTTCTTTGAGCCCCAGCTACTTAGAGATTTGAGGATGTACACTTTAAACTGGACTTAGAAATACCCTTTGTGATGTAGTACGAACATATTAGCCAATACCAGTGGGCAATTTAGTCCTCCCCTCCACTTCCAGACCATCTTCAAAGGCAGCTCTATATATAACATTGTAGTTGTCAAAACAGGAGGCTACCAGGACATGAAGGAAAGTGCCAAGATATCATCTTTGCCCAGGTAGGGTTAGGAGAGGTATATCAGCGTAAGTTGATACAAGATACTCTGAGACATGTCAGATCCAAGACACATTCCCACCTGAACCTAATCCCTCAAGTGCAGTGCATCCCTTTTGAGAACAGGCTGAGCACCTAAAATATTTATTTTTATATATTTAGATAATGAGAGAGAGAAAAACTGAAAGAGATTGAAAAAGAAACCATTTTAATGCATCAAACAGCATTTCAAAGAAGTCTGTTCTGGATTCCAGAAGGATGTAGGTAGCCACTTAAAACAAGTATTTAGTAAAATGTCCAAAAGAAGAGAGATATTGAAATATTATGCTAAGCAATTTCAGCTTCCTCTTTTTTCAACTGAATAAAAGCATTTGATACACAAGGTAGCAAAGACATAAGGACAGGGTACTCCAGAGCAGATGGATGATGTCAAGTGTTACTCTTTAGGCTCAGGCTATGGGGTACTTGAGTGCTTTATATATGTATTTCTGTCTATGGGCAATATATGATCTTAACAGCTCTGACTACCTCTTGGGAGATGCTGAATTAGGGAACTAGTGTCTCCTGGTACAGCCCAGAGAATTGCTCTCTTCTACACACGAACACGCCAATGCACACACATGCGCATGCACACTCTCGCTCACACTCATACATGCAAACATAAACACATATCCTTTCATTCTACCTATTAAACCTCACTAATTCCTATTCAGTATATGTTTCACAGCTTAATCAGAATGGTAGCAATGCTTGGAATTCTACACTACAGATTTACGCCATGCACGCTAACCCCGCAAATACTGGGAGGGTTTCTTTAAACAGAAAGGGGAAAAGAAGGAGAAGAGAGGCAAGATTTTCATGTTCATTCACTCATGGAAGCTGTGGCCTCAGTTCTGCAGAGTCACTGACAGCTCTGATCTGTTAGACATGCAACCGTTAATCACTTCAGATAGTCAAAACTGCAAACTGTTTCAAGACAGGAAAAGGTGGGCGTGCAACAGTGACTCAATAAAACAGTCAGCAAACTCCTGCCTTATGGCTCATTTAAACTCCTACTGTATCAGAATTCGGGGGAAAAGGCAATTTTTTTAAACAAGGACTTTTTTTAAAAAACAAGGACTTTTGCCCCCACTTCCAACTTATGGAGTCCTTGTGTGCATTAAATCTAAACTCAAATCTTGAATAATATGTAACAGCACGAAACTTAATGCAATCTTTTCAAAGCCCGATACAAAGCAGGATATGAATATATATGGGTGTGAGAACGACAGAGAGAATACAGAACACATCTGTTGCTGTCAAACCTAGTAAGCAGCCTTTCTTTTCAAATCCTGCTCTCAAACCCTGCCTGAGACGCACATCATTCATAATTAGGTGTGTGGCTTTAGAACATCTTGAAGACGTATAAATAGAACTGTAGATATAGAGATAGCTCTTTATTAATCATGCAGGGTTATTGCTGGCTGGCTGCACCTACCCCCACTGAAAAAGTCTATTATTTGGCTGGCATTGCCCCTCCAGAAGTGCATTGAGAGGTGCTCGAAAATAATGAACAAAATAAATACCGTAATACAGCACCAAACCCGTTCGCTTCATGGATAACAACACCCTAGACGATGGCTAAAATCAAGGAAAAGTTTTCTGTACTCATCTCAAGCTCTAAATATTAAACCAGAAGCGCACTAGACCAAACCTACAGTGGACAAAAACAACACACCTTGCTGAATGGATGGATGGATGCTAAAGAGTGTCTCCCACTGGGACAAGACACTAGGTAGACCAACTGGAAATCACTTGGAAGCAAAGTACTGTAGAAGATCAAGGAATAAACAAGTAAAATGGGGCTACTTAGATATAGGATAAACCAGTGTTTCTTAACCTTTGTTACTCAGGTGTTTTTGAACTGCAACTCTCAGAAACCCCAGCCAGCACAGCTGATGGTGAAGGCTTCTGGGAGTTGCAGTCCAAAAACATCTGAGTAACAAAGTTTAAGAACCAGTGGAATAAACTTTATGTGAGTGTGAAGGAATTAAATCAATGCAGCACTTATGTCAATGCAATGACATATGCCCTACCATGAGCACAAAAGAAGATCTAATAAACGGCTGAGATAACGCTATTGAAGTAGACTGCTTATAGTAAAAAACAGTCTAAGCATTTTAACACTTCAAGTTTGTTTGAACTTTATATTTCATATATGTCCTTAATTTTAAACTGTGCAATGGTCTGATACGAATCTCCCTCCCTCCCTCCCTCCCTCTCTAATCAACAATGGATAATGTGACAGTAAACCTTTGAAGGACATGTAACATTAACTTTAAGACAAAATGCTTGCTTTGTGTGCAAGTACAGTTTTAACAATTGGGTCCACCCTACAACAAGGAGACAGTTCTTGCAGTTAAAAAAAGAAATAATTTCAAACACACAGTGTTGATCTTTTTCTGAAATTGGCTACAGATAGAGGTGGAAACACAGTGGAACAAATCAGCTGCTACTAAGATACATCCTCCAAAAACAAATGAGACCTGAGGCAGAATACTGTTTATTTTAGTATCTGCTACTCATATGTTTTAAATGATTGTCCTTGAACATGACATTCTTGATCATTGGTTTGATCACTGATACAATTTCTGAAACTTTAATATAGCATTATAAATTTTTTAATCATTATTTTTATTACTTTTCAATATATCTTTGGTTGATTCTACTGCAAAGAATTAACTGATCTATTTTAGAAATAATACCAATCTCAGAATCATAGAATAATGGAATTATAGGGGTCCCATAAGGCCATTGAATCCAACCCCCTGCTCAATGGAGGAGTCCAAATCAAAGCGATAGATTACTGTCTAATTTTATCTTGAATCTATTTAAGTGTTCGAGAAGTCACTACGTCCCAAAATAATTAGTTTCACTGTCGTACTGCTGTAATAGTTAGGAAGTTTTTCCTGATATTCAGTTGAAATCTGGCTTCCTGTAACTTGAGCCATTGTTGTGTGTCCTGGACTCTGGGATGATCGAGAACAG